AAAAAATTAATAAAATAAAATAAAAATAAAAACAACAAAGTTTCTCTCACACCCACCACCTCTCCATTCCTAGAGTACTTAATAAGTTCTTTTCTTTCTAGCAAAATTCTCCAACCCCCCCCTCCCTAACCACTCACCCAACACACACACACACACACACACACACACACACCACACACACAAACAAACAAACAAAAACACACACAACACAATTTTTCAACACACACACACATATCCCTAAGCTGACAGTTCCGTTACTCTTTGACAATGTGGATATCAAATTCCTGCCCATTTGCATTTTCCTGCCTGCCTCACTCGTTCACTCGCTCACAACTCACACAGAGTTGGTCGACAGGTTGTGTGGCATGCTGGCAAATGCTAGGCTCCTCTTCTCCTCACTATCACATTACACAAAACATTTCTCGATAAAAATATGCGACACTCCCGTGCGGATCAGTAAACCGCAAATTATTTCCCATTTCGCCATTACCCCACCCTCTCACTCAGCTCAACACAGGCTCATTTAGTTTTAGAAAGAGTTTTACGGCACTTGCAACACAATAAGGTTCATATGAGTGCCGAAGATTAGAGGTGTCACAAGAGAGTAACAAACACAAAAAAGAAGGAGGAGAGATATAAGGACGACAGGTGTTTGATAGTTAGGAAAGAAGAAGCAAACCACAGCAGAGCACCCGCCAACCACCAACTCAACACAAGTTCCAGTGTTAGTTTTTTTTTAAAAGACAAATTTAGAAAGGAAAACTATTCCCCAGCTGTTTCACAAGACAATAATTATAAATAGCATTAATTTTTTGTATAGCATTTGTATAGAGCATACCACTGTCTGACAGCAAACTCTATGCACTTTACGCTATATGTGAGGCATCGTGGTGAAATCAGGCGCTCGTCAAAATAGCAAAATTGGAGAAACAGGCATTTTCGCACCAGTTTCGCAATTTAAATCAAATTCTTGGTATTTTGTTCAGCCGTTTTATGTCCAAATAAAAACACATTTCCATGTGAATTATATTGAAAAACATTGATTAAAAGCTCAAAATATGACATTTTTCAGTTTTCAAGGACTCTCTAGTTATTGAAGTTACCATTTTCTCAATATTTTCACCACTGAAACCAAACCGAACTTACTTCTTTCAATCAGAAATATCTTCACTTTTGCTCAAGATTAATGGATATTTTTTAAAATCAAAAGCAAGATAAATGAACAAGCTTTAAGACAATACCAATAACCCATATGCCCAAAAATTGACGAAAGCGCCTGATTCCACCACGTCGCGACACATATTATTACCTCAGCAGACCCTATAACACTCAGAAACATTCTGGGCTTCCCGGGAAGCATACAGTGCAAGCAGCCGATTAAGCGCTCAAACACTAACAAACTGACAAGATCTTTCCCTTTCTACAGCCAGATCCCACCACATGGTCTCATGGCCAGCCTACTGCTTGTTCGGTTTTTTTTGCATCCCATTGTGATATCTTTTACAACACACCTCTCTCAGCAACACTTCTCAGGGATTTATGACTTACACACACATTGACACACATACATTGACACATACATTAAAGCTGCTCTGATTGTGACAACATGATCGTCCTGGTTCCCCCAGCCCATACGTGTGGTAGCTCTGAACACTATGTGTGTTTTCACTCAATCCATGTGTAGTAATTCTGAACACTATGTGTGTTTTCACTCAATCCATGTGTAGTAATTCTGAACACTATGATTACATAGTTCACCCAACCCAAATGAGTGGTAGCTCTGACTATGTGTTTTCACCCAATCCATACGTGTGGTAGCTCTGAACACCATCACCGCATTGTTCAGTTTTACTAAGAGTCTTACGGCACTTGCAACACAATAAGGTCATATAAATGCCGAAGATTAGAGATGTTACAAGAGAAAAACAAACACAAAAAAGAAGGAGGAGAGATCTGGACGATAGATGTTTGATAGGAAAGAAGGAGCAAACCACACCAGAGCACCCGCCAACCACCCACCCACATAGTTTACCCAACCTATACGTGTGGTAATTCTGAACACTATCAGCACACTCACAGTGAGCTCTCCTGGATCGTACACCAGACATCGGTTTGGGTGGGAACACGAACCACAGGATCAATTATTCAAACATTCAAAAACATAAAAAGAGAAATTGAATACATCAACTGCGGAATGGGTTGTTGGTCTATACTTCTGTGCAGGAATGGTCTTGAAATGGACAGGAAGAACGGAATTACCGGACAAGGTTTTATAAAGTGCTCAATCCCCATTAAAGTACACAGGCTCTGAGTGCTAGATATATAATGATCTAAATAAATTACAAATTTATAAAGTGTTCAATCAAAATTTAAGTACACAGGCTCTGAGCGCTGGATATATATATATAATCTTTCTGTCATCCAGTTCAGCCCACATTACACTCTGAGCGATGGAGAGATTTTATCTAAATCACTCATCATACTAATTAATAATTAATGCACCAAACATATATATTTATATTACATTAAACGGAAATGAAAAAGCTTTTTCTCCCCTTGTTGCTGAAAATGAAAGTCTAATATTCAAACATCATTTTCCAAAGAAAGAGCTATAAAGAAAGCATTAAATAACACTTTTTCATAAGAAAAGTATTCTGTTGAGACCAGCAATGTTTAACTACCGAGTTCTTAAAGCTTCAGTGATGCCAGAACTTGACATTTCACCTGGGTCCTTCTTAGTCCACTTGGCAAACCTGACTATTAAAATTTTTAAAAATTTAGTGTCAATGTTGAATGCCCAACTATTTATCTTTTTAATTTTAAAATGTTACACTCAAATTGGCATAATTAAGATTCTTTTTGAAGTGGGTTAAAATTGTTACAAACCTGCCTGTCAGGGCTAACCTGGGCTGAGAGAGATAAGGGCAGCGCTACTGAATGAAGTGTTTTTAGGCCACTCCTAAAGAGGGGATGTTATATATAGTAACATGTTCTTATGCACAGTAGAATTGTAAATGGGCTGATTTATCAATGTCATGCTCATACTGTGCCGGAACAACATAGGGGGAAACTGCTGCTTTTTCTTTCCTCATATCCTTACTATCATCATTTTCCTCTACTTCTTTTGTATGTTTGTCACTCTCTTGTGAACTGTTATTTCCGGGGTGCCTTGATAGTAGAAGCAGACTTTGTGCTGTTGAGGCAAGAGAGGTGAGCAGAGTAAGCCTGATTCCCCGTTTGGACTTTTCTGTTGACATCCCCCCCTTGGCGCTCATATGACCTTCTGCAGTTGCGAGCGCCATAAAACCTTACTGAAATTAAACTGACCTCAGCAAATGTGGTGCAGTCGAGCTTGTCGACCCCCTTTAGGGTTAAGACTAGGTTTATAGCTAGTACTTGGGTTAGGGCAACCATTTGCGTTAGGTCCAGGGCTAAGATCAAGATTAGGATTAGGGCTTGGTTGGGGTTAGGGTCCCCTCTTCATTGTGTTTGTTGCATAATGTTGGGGTGGTCGCTCGTTACGGTGGAAGTTCTTCCAAAAATAACCTTCTATGATGTGTACTCTTCTAGTCATAGCCAACACTCATGCCCAGCTTGTTGCGAAAATGACCAGGAGTCTGTTTTAAGTTAAAATCCGACCACAGAAGTACCAATACACACCTGTACTATAGCCACAATAAGTAAAAATTGGGAGGACTTCCATAAAGACAGAATAGAGTTGAGTAGAGAGGGCTAGGGGTGAGGGTAGCAGTAGGGGTAGGGTTAGGGTTTGCTGCTTTGGGTTAGGGTTAGTTCTCTTCATTGTGTTTGTTGGGGTGGTGGCTCGTTACAGAAAAGTCCTTCCTAAAAATGATTCCCCATCATTGTGATCCACACAAACACACCAGCCTTTTACTAGACTCTAGTGCTAGATTCTAGGCCTATAATATCACAATATATATACACTGTCAGCACCCCCCGATCCCCTACCCACGGGAAAGAATGAATCATTACCGTGTTCTCCCACTCCCACGCAATCATTAACATTACATCTTTTATGTGTATGCGGAAGGACTTCCGTAACGAGCGACCACCCCAACCCATGGAATTCCTCCCATCTAACACTAACAGACGACGACACACTAAACTAAAAATTTAAAAGGGCAGGCGTGCCATAAGTTCATCACCAAAGTTCATTGTGTGCAGTTCATTCATGAAACATGCCAGTGTAACCAACTGTGACATTCTGGCGTGTACCTTACAGAGTCAAGTCTTAAAGTACCGAGTTGTAACAAGACACCCGACCAGGACCCACTAGACAGACATGATTCATTACAGTCATAAAACCATTAGCTTGGAAGAGTTTAAATACCACAAAATAATGTTGTAGATGAGCAGGGAGCAGGATGGGCCGGCGAACTGGCAAGATTGACTTTAAGAACATTACGGGGAAACGCTTACCAATTAGACTTCTTTGGTTTTGATTGTATCAGTCAGGCTGCAAATTGAAATTGTACCAATGGTAATTGTACCATAATTCGACTCGTCTTTTATCTGACAAGTTGGCCTGTGTCGGTGGGAGATGTAAGGCCTCTCCTGGTTTGTTATTGATGACGCTGCTCACTTCCGGAAACACGGCGGAGAAATAGAAAGTTAGTTTTCCATGAGTTCTCCCCCTTTTCAACCGTAAACTTTAGCATTCTGGTTTCTCTAGAACAAAAAAAATTAAATAATATTACATGTATTAATCATTATAAGTCTTTCAAAATTGATGTTATCTTTAGATGTTGGGCTTCAGGGTTTGATATCGTCAACTCGTTTCATGTAAGGGAAGACTAGCATCCAATTTTCAAAATCTGTTACGCACAGATGTGGCAATCATCTATTATAACGCCATTAAATATTATGACTTTGGGGGCCAATAGTTGAAATTTAAAGTAATGCAGTACTCTGTTGGTCACCTGGATGGGACGCACTGAGTCTCTCTCTCTCTCTCTCTCTCTCTCTCTCTCTCTCACGCGC